AGGCGGGGGAGGGAGGGACGGGCAAGGGCAGCCTGGAAGGAGGTGGGAGACGGGAGCCCTGGGGTGGGGGGGAGCAAAACACCACTCCACCGTTGCGGAAAGTGATTAGTTATCACTTCCACTGAGGGGATAATCATAGTTTCACTCTGTCACCCAGACTGGAGTGCAGCCTCTACCTGCTGGGGTCGGCAATCCTTCCGCCTCAGCCTTCCAGGTTGCTGGGACTACAGGTGCCTGCCATCACACCTGGCTCGTTTTTTGATTGTTTGGCAGAGACGAGGGCTTGCCAAGTTGCCCAGGCTGGTCTGGAACCCTGGGCTCAGGCCACCCTCTCGCCTCCGCCTCCCAAAGTGCTGGGATTCCAGGCATGAGCCACTGTGCCCGACTGATAATTATTTCAAAAAGAGGTCCTTCGTCTGTCGAGTAGTGACCTATCCAGTCCCATTTTTCTTCCCGACTTTTATAAACCCTGGGGTTTTAATAAAAGCATAAACATCAACTCTCAAAAAACAAGCCCTGTGAAAACTCCAGCGGTTTTTTTACATTTTCAACAAATACCAAGTGGGAGTCTTCTGAGTTTTACTCACCCTTTTCTTCTCTTCTCTCTCTTTCAGTAAGGTGTCTCTGTCCACCAGCTTGACCACCGTTGGCAATCCTGAAACGGAAGACGTCTGTGAAAAGAAGCCAGGCTCAAGGGGCTATCCCACTGTGGCCGGCCGCCCGTCCTACCCAGACACCTGCGCCCCGAGGAAGCCCCAGGCCTTCCTCACTGCTCACACAGGCAAAGCCACTCCAGGTGGGCTTGATGGTGAGCATCCAAGACAGAAACCACAGCCTCCCTAGAGGCAGCGAGCCCAGCCCAGAAGGGCAGTGTGCATTTGGGGGGGGCGGGGGGTGGTCTGAGGATCAGAAAATGACCTGAGTGGAGGGGGAAGGGGTGGCTGGTGGTGTAGGCAGGCAGTTAGACAGAAGGAGCGGGGTCATGGTGGGCCACACGGCGGGGCCGCTCTAAGTAATTCATGTGTATTTCAAAATAATGAGAACAGTTCTGGAACGTTCCCAACAAAGAAATGTCAACATTTGAGATGATGACATCCCAGCTTCCCTCATTAGATCAAGAACCACCATATGCGTGTGTCAAACAGCACACAGACCCCGTGACCAGGTACAATGATGTCCCCATAAAAATTAACCATAAAACTGTCGCAAAGATGTGTTATCAACCTAAATGGCCCTCTGCCAATCCGTGGATAATGAAACCATGGTACATATACACCATGGAATGCTAGTCAGTCGTAAAAAGGGTGAAATCATATCTTCTGCAGCAACTTGGATGGAATGGGAGACCACTATCCTCAGTGAAGTAACACAGACAAGGAAAAGCAAACACCATGTGTTCTCACTTATGGGAGCTGAGATGGGCGCGGTGGCTCACACCTGTTATTCCAGCACTTTGGGAGGCAGAGGTGAGAGGACTGCCTGAGCCCAGGGATTCAAGACCAGCCTGGCAATGTGGTGAGACCTTGTCTCTACAATAAATAAAAAAATTAGCCGGGCATGGTGGCGTGTGCCTGTGGTTCCAGCAACTTGGAAGGCCGAGGTAGAAGGATCATCTGAGCCCAGCAGGTGGAGGCTGTGGTGGCCGTGAGTGTGCCACTGCACTCCAGCCTGGGCGACAGAGTGAGACTCCAACTCAAAACAAAAAAATTAGCCAGGCATGGTGGCATGTGCCTGTAGTTCCAGCTACTAGAAGGCTGAGGCAGAAGGATCCCTGAGCCCAGGGTCAAGGCTGTGGTGGCTGTGAGCGTACTCCTGCACTCTAGCCTGGGCATCAGAGATCGCAACTCAAAAGAAAATAAGTAAGTGGGAGCTGACCTCAGGGTCTGCAAAGGCACAGAGAAGAGGGTCACAGACACGGGAGACTCAAAAGGGGGAGGGAAAGGAGAGAGGCGAAGACCACCTACGGGGTACAGCATGCACAGGAGGGGTGGGGGTGCACGTGAGCCCAGAGGATACGCTGCAGTCATGTCACCAAAGCCCGTGTGTGCCCCGAGGCGAGTGAAATAAAGAAGCAACGATGATGATGGTGACAACGTTCCATGCAGCAGACCCCACACGAAGTCGGAGGATGAGCAGGACAACCCAGGTCGCAGGCTGTCCTCAGCTGCGAGGGCGCGAGGGAGGACATGGCCAGGGGAGGTCACACACGGTGACTTGAGGTGGCACACACGGTGGAGTGTGGCCACCCTTGTCCCTGGCCCTGGCCCTGCCCCTGTCGGGCTGATGGGCACAGGGGTGATAGGGGCACCCACAGAGACACGACTCTGGGGTTTCTCGTCCATACCCACGGGCGCGCATGGCCCCACACCATGCCCTCCCACGGCACCTTCCCCACTCTGCCACCTCCTGCCCACTCGCCCAGGTCCTTTAGCTCACCCACCTTCGTGGTCTTCAAGCCGCACCCCGAGCTCGGGCAGGACGTCGTCCCGCAGGGCATCACTCAGCTGCAGGACCTCGGGGACTGTGAGCAAAGCAGGCGGTTCCATTAGATGCGTGGGGCTGGCCACACAGAGACAGCCCCTCTTCTTGGCTGGCTGCAGAATGCCCAGAAAGCCCAGGACCAGCAATGCTCTGATGGGCCTGCAGGAGCCTTCCGAGCCCCGGCCTGGGCCCCCCATCCTGTGGTCATGCTCGAGGGAGTCCAGGAGCCCTGAGCCCCAGCACCCCGGTACAGTGACTCTCAAAGCCGTGTCCCCACAGTCCAGGGTCCAGGGCCCGAGGCCAACCTGCGCTGGGCCTGTGCCCTGCCATTACCCGAGTCCTGCAGGGCTCCTCCCTCTCCTCACACCACAGCCAGGCAGGCTGGGGACAGTCACAGCAGGCTCCCCCACCCAGCCTTGCCCTCGGAGCTGAAAGCTCTCAGGGGCTCAGTGCCAGGGAAGACCCTGGACCCTCACGGCTCTGAGCACCCACCACAAGCCAGACTCGGCTGGAGTGAAGGGTGTTGGGGACAGGTGCCAGGTCTGGGGTTGGGGGAACCCACAGCTGCTGCCGGTTTCTCACTGACACCCCCAGCCCAACCATCGGCCACAGTGTACGGAGGGCCCAGAGATCCAGGGGACAACAGGACCACACGCCTCAGCGACCCTGCCATGGGCACGGGCTGGACATCGGCACTGGGATGGCCCAGCCCATGCAGGCGGCCACCCGGAGCAGGGGCAGGACAGGTGGAAGGCCCAGGCAGCGGGGAGGGCACCAGCTGCGACGCTTCCAGAAAAGACACAAGCTGGGCTAACGGGGCTGGAAAGGATGGCAGAGCCTAGGATGGAGCTGGACTGTCCCTTCGGGCCTGGACATTCCCACTCTCCATCTGAGTTGGTTCCTCTTGGGGCCAGAGACAAAACCACCAACTGCCGACTCGCCCCTTCCCTGCCCCCAGGAAGGCGGAAAGTCAGAGACAGAGCTCTTCTGCAAAACAGTTGCTGGCAGCTCCCTGGGTCTCAGCCTCGCTTGCAGAGACCTCAGGGCGTGAAGCTCTCCCGGCCACCCGGGGAGGGGCTGGCTTTGAGGCAGGAGCCCATGTTAAGCGCCTGCCCTTCAGGCTGAAAGCAGCCCCTGGGTGGCACGCTCATCCGTAGCGCGGCAAGCCAGCATCCGTCCATCCGTGAGCACGTCACGGTGTCCTGGAGCCACAGCCAGCCCAGCCCCCAGAGGGGGATGTGACCTTCAGAGAAGGGGCCACGATGCCTCCCCCAGCCACACTCCCCAGGGGAGAGGGACGCACATGCTTTCTCACGACCCCTCTGTCCGCTGGGTCTGGACTCCCAAGAGCTGAGGGGAGTGACATGTCACCCCCTGCCGTGTGGATGCTTGTTCACTTTGCTTAAAACCCTTAAGCTGTCTTTAGAAATCTCCTTTCTCCAGCAGCCCTTGCACGGCTCGGCACAGCGGACACCAGGACTCTAAGATGGCCTCGGTCGTACCAGTGAAGGAGAAGAAACTCATGGATGTCAAACTAGGGGAGCTTCCAAGCTGGATATTGATGCGGGATTTCACCCCTAATGGCATACTTGGAGCATTTCAAAGAGGGTACCACTGCTACTACAACAAGTACATCAACGTGAAGAAAGGGAGCATCTCTGGGGTTTCTGTGGTGCTGGTGGCTTATGTACATTTCAGCTACTGCCTTTCTTACAAGGAGCTTAAACATGAGCGGCTACGCAAGTACCACTGAGGAGGGTGCACTCTGCTCTCCTGACCATGACCTCCTGGGCCCAGCGCCCCTCCATGAGGAACTTGACTATTGCTGAATCCTTTCATACCCTAATAAGAACACCTTAATCAAAGATGACTGGTACCTGTGGGGGGAAAAAAAAGAAATCTCCTTTCTACATGGCGGTATGTGACTTTAGCAAGTCACGTGTCTGACAAGGGTTTCACGTCCGGCATCTATAATCAACTGCTGCAACTTGATGGCAGAAAGAGAACCCAGTTAAAGACGTGCCTTTCTCCATGAGAGGTGTCCTGGTGCACAGGACAGGACACTCAATGCTGACAGTCATTACAGAAATGCAAACCAACCATCGTAAAATGCCACTTTGCACCTGATTGGGAGGCCACAAAAAAAAACCAAACCCAACTGGGTGTGGGGGCTCACACCTATCATCCCAGCACTTTGGCAAGCTAAGGCGAGAAGACTGCCTGAGCCCAGGGGTTCAAGACCAGCCTAGGCAACTTGGAGAGATCTCATCTCTACAATAAATAAAAAAATTAGCTGAGTGTGGTGGTGCACACCTGTAGTTCCAGCTACTTAGAAGGCTGAGGCAGAAGGAGCACCTGAGTCCAGCAGGTGGAGGCTGCGGTGGCCATGAGCATGCCACTGTACTCCAGTCTGGGTGGCAGAGTGAGACTGACTCAAAAAACAAAACAAAAAAAGATTAATTTTGTTATTTGAATTTCACTTTAATAATCGTACGTTTTTTCTTTGAGAAAGAAAAAAATCCAGTTGGGTGTGTGTGTGTGTGTGTGTGTGTGTGTGTGTGTGTTTTGAGTTGGAGTTTCACTCTGTCACCCAGGCTGGAATACAGTGGCTCACCACCCTGCCTGGACACCCACGACCCCCATGATGGGCTCTGTACAGCTGGGGGCAGGGAGAAACTCGGGTGTGACTTCCCACCACAGGGGCTCCTCAGGGAAGGAGTATGGCACAGCGAGTGACAGGGGACCCTCAGGGTGGCTGGGGCAAGGACTCTCACTCCTTGGGCCCTGCTTTCCTCTTTTGTAAGATCCTGAGGGCGGAACGCAAGGGCCACTGGGAGCTGGTGGGGCGGGCATTTCCTAGGTCCCTGGCCTGTCACAGCTGTGTGTCCCCAAGTCGGAGCTGCATAGTAGGCAAGGGACTGCTGCACACTGCTTGTTGACGTGTCTGACAATTTTTAAACACAGGCCTCCAAAATGAGACACCCAGATCTGGCATTTTCCATGTCTTAAACGACACATGCCTCAGGATCTCAAAAGATTAAGGATGGCTGTGTACTGACAGCAGGGCGCCACCAGGTGAACCCCGAGTTCAAGGCCTTTGCCTGCCACACCCTGAGCAGAACAGCAACGCCCCCCACAGAAGGCTGGCGTCCACACGGCGGAAGTCCAAGGCAGGAGCAGGCCACGCTCAGCACGCCGGCCAGGCAGGTCACCAGGGGCAGGCAGGCCCAGTGGGAACCTACAGCAGGCTTGGGCGGGGCTTGGGGGGCAGTGGGCCCTCGAAGCTGCCCTAGCTCGGAGGACCAGTGGCAGATCAGCCCTGGCCCCTCACCCATATCCCAGACCCCAGCCCCACCCAGCCCCCTTAGTGAAGTGACTCTGCCCGCGGGGGATGACTGTGGTTATGACACGGCTCGGTTTTCCAACAAGCTGGAGGCCCAAACAAATGAAGCTGGAGAACTCACACCTGCACAGCGACATGCACCTGCTGCCCGTAGACAGCGCCTTTGCACCCTCTCTGACGCCCGTGGCCACAGCAATGCAGACCCCTCGCCCGACCCCGTGGCCATGACCAACTCCTCGTCCTCACCCTCCCGTTGGCCTTCCTGGCTACATAAACCCTTAGCTTCAGCAGGAAGAGGGAAGGGTGTGGGGGTCTGGCTCCTATCAGCCATAAAATAATGGCGCCTTCTTCCCTGGTGACTGGCTTTCCATGAGGGGAGTGATGCGCCCTGGCCTAAGCCCTGGCGTTCACAGCTGCTGCCACGACTCGGGCGTACGGTGCTAATGATCGAGCGGGTCCAGGCCCGGGTGTGCCAATGCCCAGCAGTACCCGGGTAGCCCCTTGCAAGTGACCTGCCCATTGCCACCGGGAGCCCAGGGAGGAGGAGGGGCCCCACGCATGCGGCGCCCCGCTTCACCTTTCTTCTCCCGGGCAATCCTGCGCACGCCTTCCCGGAACTCCGACAGCACCTGGAGGTAGGGCATCACCGTGGCCTCCAGCTGTGGAGAGAGGGTCTTGGTTTGCAGAGGGACGCTCACCCAGTCTCTAAATGAGTCAATGCTCAACAGACACGCCAGCGGATGGGGAAGGGCCTGGGAGGCGCTGCTCGGGCACCCTCGTCCCCAACACGTGGTCCCACTAGGCGGACGCTGGACCAGAGGCACACATCAAGCTCCCCTCCTGCCTCCAGCGGGCGAGCCTGGCGACACGCTCTCAGGTCAGATGCCAGGGTCAGAAGCCTGTCCTAGCTCGCAAACAGGCTGCCTCTGGGAGGGATCAGTCCAAGGGGACCAGGGATGTCACCCCCAGACTGGGGCCTTCTGAGGCTGAGCCTGGTCTGTGTTCACACACGCGCTTGTTCAACACACCCGGCCTCCACAAGCTACCTGCCATCTACACACACACTGGCACCAACTACCACCGCAGCACTGAGGAGGAGGCCACCGACGTCAAGCCACCGACGGTTTACGGGGAGGGTAAACAAAGGAAGGCAAACCCCAACGAGGTCGGAATCCAGGAGGAGCCTTCCTGTGACACGTCTCTTACTTCTCCAACAGCACAAGAAAAGCTCTAGGCTTTGCCCGAGGTCCCTGATACCCAAAGGGAAGATGCTGGCCCATGAGGTGCCCGCTGAGGCCACGCCCGGCTTCTCACCCACCCTGCCCAAGGATGAGTCTGCCTCCTTGCAGGGGACTCTGGCCCAGGGGGGTGAAGTCGGTAGCTCACCCACCAGAGTTGTCCAGGCATGCCTTGGTGCAGGGAGGGAGGCGGCCACCCACAGTGGCCTCAGCCCTGGGAGCCTGGGGGCTCCCTGAAGCCTGTGGGCCTGTCTCAAGGGGCCGGGGCTATGCTCTTGTGCCACGGTGACACTGAGCCATGCCAGCCTTGGGAGCTGCTTTTCCTGCTCTGAAGCCTCTCGAATCTGGCCGTGATCCCTGAATGTCACACAGCGCCAGGTGTGGGTGGGTTATGTCCATGCATCCTTCCAATCAGCCGACTTCAAAGGGCCTGCCAGGCCACGGGGCGTGACATGGTACATGGGTGGGTGCCACAGCCACTGCTGCTGATGTGAAAAGCAGCTCAGTCCAGAAGCAGACTGCTCTAACCCGGAGGAACTTTCTTTTCTTTTTTTTTTTTGCGTTGAAGTCTCAATCTGTCACCCAGACTGGAGTGCAGTGGCATGCTGCTGGCCACTGCAGCCTCGACCTGCTGGGCTCCAGCGATCTTACACCTCAGCCTTCCAAGTAGCCAGAATTAATTTTTGATTTATTGTAGAGACAAGGTCTTGCCAAGTTGCCCAGGTAGGTCTCAAACCCGCGGGCTCAGGCAATACACTCACCTCGGCCTCCCAAAGTGCTGGGATTACAGGCTGAGCCACCGAGCCCGGCCTGGCATTTTCATTTTTAAAGAAAGTAAGTATCAGCTGGGCGTGGTGCTCGCACCTGTCATCCTAGCACTTTGGGAAGTGGAGGAAAGAGGACTGCTCGGGCAACATGGCGAGACCTTGTCTACAATAAAAAAAAAAATTAGTGGGGTGTGGGGGCATGTGCATGTAGTTCCAACTACTGGGAAGGCTGAGGCAGAAGGATCGCCTGAGCCCATGAGGTCGAGGCTGCAGTGGCCGGGAGCATGCCACTGCCCTCCAGCCTGGGTGACAGTGAGACTCTGACCCCCAAAAAATATATATCTTAGGATTACCTGCACAAGAGAGCCAGGGAGCTGTGGGTGTTTTCTTTCCGAAAGCAACAGGGAAGGTTCCCACACCAGAAGCCTAGAAGTTGCCACACTGAGCCCAGCGCTAGAGCTGACGGAAGGCCCACACATGGCAGGCACTCGAGGGCTGGCTTCCCCTTGGGGTTGGCCATGGGCATTGGGAGCCCAGCTGCAGGAGGGCTCTCCGCACAGCTCGTTAGGGAAAACAGGACCTTACAGCGTCCTGCATTTTCTTTGTCTTGATCACAACCACAGCTGTGATATTTAACATTCTCATCAGACAACACAAGAAAGCTCCTGATGGGCGAAGGGTGGAGTTCCTCTTAGCCAAGCCTGTCAGCCAAGGAACCTCGTGGTCAAGGAACCTACATGAATATGTGTTTCTGCCCATGTGCCAGCTGCCAGCGGACCCAGCAAGGAGCAGCCAGGGCCTGTCCCGGGTGGATTTTCCATGCACAGACCACAGGCCACAGACCCGCTGGGCGGAGGCTCTGCGGGACAACCACCCCCAACTCGCGGGCCATGGCTGGGGGGAGTTCGGGCATCTTCCCAGGTGCCTAGGCTCATGGGGATGGGTAGATGGTGGAGTATCACCCTACTCGGCGCCAACTCTGGGCTGTTTGTGAACTCCATGGCTCTCAATGGAGCACCTACTGAATACAGGTCAGTACACACGACAAGCCGGAGCGTGAGAGGTTACAACACCACACGGCTGCGGCACCCTCAAGCTAAGAGCCTTCCACACTGGAGGGGTAGTCATTCACACTCCCCCTTCCGGAGCCAGATGGGAAACTCAACCTGAGGGATCGGCCTAGAAGGGCCTGGTGTGGGAGGGACCCTGGTCTCTGCATGTCCAGAGGACTGACGGGGAGAGCGAGACCCCCATGGAGGCCCAGAGAAACAGGAGCACCGAGGAGGGCCTCAGGGTGCGCACACAGGCAGGGTCAGAGGGCGGCGGCAGCTGCACCGAGCGCGGGCAGGGGCGCTTGTGCTTAACTCACGCTGAGGCTGGATCCAGGCCCTCCGACGGGGAAGCCCAGGAAGCTCTCCTCTTCTATGGCCCCAAAGATCTAGAAAAAAGATGCAGGCTGGAGCCACGGCTGGACGAGGAGGTCTGGGTGGGCTCCAGAAGGCGGCTGTGAACCTGCTCCTCGGGGAAGGGGCAGGTGGAGGCAGCCCTACCGGGGGACCCGGACCATGAAGGGGACGAAAGGAGCGGCTCCCAGCGCTCAAGGAACCTGAGCCCAGGAACCCAGCAGGGAAGTGGCAGGGCAGGCAGGGCCCCGTGGTGTGGGTGGAGTGTGGGAGGGGCTCTGCATGGAAGGAGCTCCCACAGGTTGTGCTCGGAGCAGAGCCCCCTCCTTGGGTTTGCTTTTCAAACTTCAAGATAGGGCGGAGGGAAACTGAGGCAACGTTACGACACAGCTCAGAGCAAGGCCCGGCTCAACGAGTGCCGTTTCCAATGCACAGGACACGCGGCAGGCGCGGAGGGTACGGAGGTGCCCGGTGTCTAGGAGGCCTCGCTCCCCGCCCAGCCGCTGACCTTCAGCATGCGGGTGAGGTAGAGGGCGACGTTCTCCAGCAGGACGCGGTTGGGCTTTCTCCTGGCGGCCTTCCGGGCTGCCATGTACAAGTTGCACTGACTGACCAAGGCCCGCATCTCCTCCATGGCCGTGCGGGTGTCGATGTTGTCACAGAGGGCCTCGTGGACTGCCGCCTTCTTGTCATGAAAGCTGAGCAAGAAAGGAGGGGTGTGTCAGGCCCACGGCACGCCACAGAGACTCCCCCACGCTGCGGCCACCACCATGGGGCCACACGCCCTGCAGAATGTATACAGCGAGTGCCAGTGTCCCTGCTTCCTCCTGGGCTGGCAGGCCACAGGCCACAGGGGGCGAGGCCACAGTGGCAACGGCCACGGGGGGTAAGGTCACAGAGGGCGAGCCCAGCACAGGCCACAGACACACTCATAAGCCCCAAGCCAAGGCTCCATCTTACTTCTGATTCAGGTCCGCCTCCTCCTCTTCCCACTTTTCAAACTGCCCAGTGACGTCGACAGGCGCTCGGAGGACATCTTTCACATTCAGGAAGAACTCCTAGGGCGAGAACACCCAGTTAGCAGCGCCGGGCAACTTTCACCCAGAGCAGCTGGTCAGCTGTTCCACGGATACAATTTTATGGGTAGAGCCGGGCTCGGTGGCTCAGCCTGTAATCCCGCGCCTTTGGGAGGCTGAGGTGA